GGGCAATGCTAGTATAAAATAATATTTCGAGATTCATTAACTAATGTTTATATACATATACATTTACACAGACTACATCGCTTTTATTTTATTTTGACCTACACTTAAAATTTAGTACCTAGTACTTATTATTGATTTTTGAATCAATAATTTATGATTATTTTTTTTATTTTCATCGGACAAAGCTGGGGGAAGTTGCTAGTTATCATACATTACATTATGATATTACGATCATCAAAAGCATCTATTTAGACTTGATATGTTCTAGGTTCTTTGTTTTTAATCTCTTAACTTTTACTTCACTTTCATGACTCATTCTTTTAACATACCTAACTAACGGCACCAACTTTTAATAATAACTTCAATTAAAACTTTTAATAAGTAAAAACCTGTTAGATTTAATATACAGATATTTTTCTTACTTTTAAATGGATTGAAAAAAAAAACAATAAAAAAATATTTACTGTTTTAATTTGACTCCGTTAATTTAATGATACTCATACATATATATACATACTCAAACAGGAGCTATAAATACTAGACATGCAGAATTTACGAAGAGTATACCAATGAGGTCAACTTGAGTTCAATGAACTTAAGCCAACATATCATTACTCATTAGCTTTTATACTTCGAAGCGTACTTTATGATTACTCGACCAATAAAGTAGCTTTAATCACTGTTATAAGAATCATGGAATTAGCTAGCGCCACCAGTGGGCCGAGTGATGCACGAGACACGAGGCACGTGCTCGCGCACGATGAGGGGTTCGGCTTATTGAATAATTTATTTAGACGTTCTATATAGCTGAAGATGATCATTGATCATTGTTGATACAAGATCAGTACATCCGTTAATATATTGCACAAAACTTAACATAATATAGCTTTTTCCTTAATATAAAATTGACGAGCGTTAAACATTTACTCAATTTGTGCTGAAAAAATATTATACTTAATTTAAAAGACAAAAAAAGTGACTTTGGCTGTATTTTTAACAACAAATTGTATTATATTTTCACTTTCATTCATACGTTGATATTATAGTTACTTATTTATCACTGTTCCCGCTTGACTAGCAGGGATAATAGCTGTACCGACTACGGTCGCCGTAACATCTGCTGCGCAGGTGTTGCGAAGGGAAAGGCAGGTGCAGAATACCGACAAACGGATGTTACGTCGTCGTCTATCGTTAAAATAATACCCCTATTTCCCTGCTTAAGTATCCGGGATGGGATTATTACTCGTAGTAGACATTTAGCTATTGCGATGAATAGTATGTATACAGTGTATAATATAATTTCTACGGCAATAAATTATAATGTCTTGAAAAAACTTTTTAAGGAAAAAGCTAAAAATACCAAATCATAATTTGTTGGTTAAAAATAAATACCTACCCATGATCCATTTTTGTATATTTTTTACCATAATTACATATTTCTCCTTAAAATTGAATCATCACTCAGTATCTAAGTGTGGCAGGCTCAGGGGTTTTACGATTGCTCATAAAACACCGACCTCTATAAACTCTATGCCTTTCGTTTCGTTATGTTCACACCCACGATAAAAATTTTAAAATTCACTAATTCATTTTGTTATATAAATATTTGCGTAGATAATGTTCATTTTAACGGTTGATTTTTACCTCCAAGGAAGAAGGAAATAGTCGACTAATATACCTAGTATAATAATGGAAATACATAATATGTTACATACATATGTGTATGTATACGTAGTATATAATAAAGTCGCTTCCCGCTGTCTGTCTGTCCCTATGTATGATTAGATCCTTAAAACTTCCAACGGATTTTGATGCGGTTTTTTTTAATAGATAGAGTGATTCAAGGGGAAGGTTTTTATGTACATAACATCTGCATATTATAGTACAGAAAGGTCGAGAAATTCAAAGATTTGTATTGTGCGCTTACATTGCCTACCTAGGGACGAACCCGAGCGAAGCGACGGTAAGTCGCTAGTTCTATATATGTATGCTTATAATCAAAATGAATGGGTAATCTGCTTAGATTACCCATTCATTTTGATTTGGAAGCCCTACACTTTCTCTTTAAGCTATACTTATATTACCCTGCATAGAGCTTAGGACAGATAATGTGTAACAAATGCAATAAGTGTTTGTCATTCAATACCACGCTAATAGTGTGCTCCTTATCGAATGAATCGCTATTCCCTCCCCGTTAGAGTATAATCGAATGTTCTGTTCACGGAATATCTTATCACAAATTCGGGGAAAGCACAGGGCAAGTACCTGCAGTGTGGCTTCTGTTTCAAAATGCATAACATGATTTATATATTATCATGAAATATTTTCCAAATTAGTTATTGACATTTTATCATTCGTAATTCGTATTATTATCTATATAATAGCATTTGAATTGTTTTTAATTATTTATTTATCTATATTGTTTCATTCATTATGATTGCAGAGTCTAACAAATAAAGCACAATAATTATACCTGAAAACACGCAGTATTTGCGCACCATTAAAATTTTTACTTTTTGTTTACAAAACTTCGCGAACCGGCTTTGTCGCTAGACGCTCGGCGAACCCCAGGCTTTATGAAAGTTAAATGAAAGAGGGCTAGAGGGTTTCTCAGACGTCAACGCCCTTTGTTTGTGGCAAAGGTTGAATTAAATATAAAACTTCACTAACCCAGAAATGGAATGCACCAGTAGTGCCAAGCTACAGGTAAACAATGATGTTTATTACAATATAAACTATAATATAAACAACACATTAAGCAAATTTGATTGTGTCACTTAAATTAAAAGAATAAATAAACATAAATATGTAGCAATAGAACAGTTAAATTTCTTCGTATTTATTTGTGAATGATTAGTTAAAGATTCCTAATAGTATATAATATGTATGTAGATACTCTTAGAAGAACAGGTTTAAGAGGCTTTATTAAATTATATTCAAATAAATTCTTTGTTTTGTGGCTTATATTATATTGGAATAACATTAGAAATAAAATATATCAAAATAACAGATATATAAATAATTAAATTAAACACACAAAATTGTTACATATATAAAATATTAAACTTTAATAAATATGAAAAATAATAGCATTTTCATTAATTATATGAATCTATCTAAAACAAAAAAACTATGATTTGTAAACAATAACAGTACTTGTTATTGTTATGTTAAATAACACATATTATAATCTTTATAAAGCTGAAATGTTTGCATTTTCTTTGTTTAAACACATTAATATTTGGAATAAATAATCATCATATATGAAAAATGCTTTTTGCAATTTATGGCTTTATGATTAATATAATAAAGGATAAACATCATTGTTTATCTTTTATTGTATTAATCATAAAGCCATAAATTGCAAAAAGTGTATTGCTTGCATAAGCAAAATAACAAACAATAAATATAAAATTATGAAGAGGTTTTAAACATATTTTAAAATAATTATGCTTTGGAAATCCTGCATGAGTAACAGGAGCCATGTAATGACTTTTTTTATATACAAATATACTTATAATAGTCCCGACTCAAATACAAAACTACATTTTATTTCAATGAGTTGAGGAAATTCAGAAGTATAATTTGAGCTTTCCTTTTAATGCATTAATATGTGTAGTTAGTAGTGGAGTAATATTTCTATACTTACAGGTCCTTAATAAATGTTAAAGAAGTACCTATTAATTTTATTTTTCAAAGAGAATTGTTTTGCAATTTTACACTTTTCACTATAATTTGTTAGCATTATTAGTTTTAAACTATTATGCATACAAAATAGACTAGTAACATATCCCTCTTTAGCTTTTGTGACTATTAAAAGTAAATTTTTCACTAGTAAATTTAAAATCAAAATATATTGTTGCAGTGAGCCAGAATTGATATTGAATAATTATTAAAATAATTATTCTAAATCAACTCTATCTCAAATAAAAAATTGCAAAACATTATTTTTTTCAAAGTTGTGAGTTGCGCTAGTGTTCTTTTGGCTTAGTGCCTGGTTGATCAAAGCTATGTTAATATTGGCTACCCTAAATAAATAAATAAATTAAAATATTAATTGATAGAACACAATTGTGATGATGACATTTTTAACTAAAACAACAGCTCAAGCTGTTATTAAATAAAAACTTATAAATTTAACAAATTGATACCTATGGTGACAGTAAACATAAGACAGAGAAACTATACTAGAACTATTTTGCATAATAATGAGATTATAAAACATAATATTCTTATTTTTACTATTAGAATGTCAATAGGCTAGGCAAACTCTTTGAGTTTTAATACAAAGCAGTAAACACCAAGTCTAGTTCACAATCAAAAGGAATGAATTTTTGGATTTTAGTATATCATTTGTAAAACTAACAACACAAAACTATAAACGGTCGTAATAGATTTGTTAAGAACTGTACAATTGAAGGATTTTTTACATCAATAATAAGTAAGAAGAAACAAATGTTTTCTAGTACTTTATATTCATTTTTTAACAAATATTTTGTATGTTTGAATTGACTTTTTATGTTTGATATATTTCAATTAATTAAAAGAGATTTTATCAAAGTAATTTTATGGGAAATTTTTAATACTGACACTTTTTGTCAATGGTTAGTAAATATATGTACATTACAGTAATTATTTAATCTAATAAGGTTATATCGAAATCGATTGAGTTGACAAGGCTGATGTAAACAAAAGTTATCTACAGAAGAGCATTTGACGTTTAACAGTAAAACATAATTGAAACACTGTACGTATTACTTTGTTCCATAGTGTTACAAATTATTTCTATAAAGTAAATATAAACAAAGTTCATATACATACATGTAATATGTTTAATTTGAAACTTGACACATGTAAATTTTTACGATTTAGATTTCATATTGATATCTGCGCATCAATATAATTTACAAATATCTCAAGTTCATTATTTTCACCGATGAAAAATAGATGGAAGTGTGAACATATTGTTTTTGTTCAAAAACCACGTTGTAACAACTTACCGTTTTACGACCATGATAGAATCCGTCTGCTCGTTTGTGGACCCTATGATTCGAACTATGCTTTACAAAAGACACTAAGAATATTGGAAACACCATGAATTATACAAAAACACCATCAATTCAATTTATTCAATTCACACATCGCTAAAAAGCGATAAATACACTAATCTTCATTATTTCACCAACCCCGTAAAACTCGCACTTCACTTGTTGGAACATCTATTATTAATATTAGTATCGCGTTTGCTATTATCACTTCTCGTTCAAACAAATCTAGAAATAACAGCTATCAAACAAGCTCAACACTGTTTAGGGATGTTAGAAATCCTATACCCGTAAACACAAACTAGAATGCAATTGTGTTGTAGATTGAAGTGTTGCTAGCTTCACACAATACATACTCTTTTTTATGTTGGTTAACCTGTATCGTAAAGTTATGTATTGTAGGTAGCAACCTCTAAGAATTATTTTTTTATTTATCACGTTTGGATAATTGATGATGAATATTTTTTGCTATTTATCTTTAAATATTTAAACTTTTTAAAGTATAAAGCCAAGACAGACCTATAGGTTTTGGTACGATTACAGATTACAGATTAGTATTTTTTCGGAGAACAAATTCACTGCTCGCTAGATACAACCGGATGTTACACTAAGATAACATTTTAAACAACGTCTCGTACCAAATAACTTTAAAATTATGTCCGCAGAAAACTGGACACATGGGGAGATTTAATTTGGAGAATGTACGGCTCGTATCCTATTTCTCAATTTTAGTTAAAATAAAATTTAAAATATAGCAATTAGCAGAGACTATACTCGTATTATCATAAAAAAAAAGATAATATAAAGTGCAAGACTCTTTGCCTGTAACAACTTATTATGGTCGATTCAAATCATCAATCAATCGAAAGTAAAAGATTTGTAGAAAATACTGTTATACAGTTAGCGGCATTATACGAATCCACATTACCTGACATCCAAGTATAAACAGGTAAATTGAAGTAGTTAATTGCTCGTATCGGATCGTATTTCCGGAACCAACCAAGTATCAAAATGTAGATGATTTTATTAAAAATTTAATGATATTAGAACGTACGTATAATACGTAAACATCTCCCGACTAGACAATTTTATGAAAAATAGGCTATAGCAAATTTTTGATGACAACTGGGTATTTGTTAAAATGTTTTATGGTTTAAAAAAATATATTTGGCCTGGAAAAAGAGTGAGGGGGACCACATTCATCGGGATCTTAGACTAAATGTACCTGTTACATTATACATCCTTCCATATTAACTATGAACGTCATTGTCTAATTGTAGTCCAGTGGAAACGTGCTCGCTTAGAAAATTAAGCGTAGAAGTTCAAACTCCGGGTTACATTTTGACCCAAGGTACATCTCTCATAATTGCATGTACCCATCATCTTCAACATGATTACCACTTGCCTTACAGGACAGGAAACATCGTCAGGAAATCTTGATAACTGAGAGAACCTAACTAGTTTTCAAAAGAAATAAAATCCATTAACCCGCACTTAGTCAGCATAGTGGGCTTTCATCTGATCTCCAAGTGCATTGAAAACAAGACAATCGAATTTCAAAATTATAAGTAATAATTTCATCCTGGATGAACTTACATATTTTTGAAAATTTTATGACGTTCTAATCCTTAAAAAGGAATTATGAAAATCAGTTAACAATTGGCAAGGATATCGCATATCATACACCAAATAAATGTAATAATACATACATACGTGTTTAATTAATAACCTAAATTTTTTCAGGTCTTGAAGTCGGTTGTCAAAGATACGGCCGAATTTAGTAGGCTCTATTTAAGTCTGTGTATAGAGGAGAATCCTTTTTCAATTCCTCCACGAACGCGGACACGCCGGCGTGTCAGTTAACAACAGATTTCTTAGAATTGTAATTAATTCCTTAGAAATTTACCTGGAGGTGTTAAGAATATGTCATAAATAAATAAGAACGTAAGTCAATGTCAAAAATAAAATATATCAAAAATATTCATTTAGAAATGCCATCGGTAAATAAAATGATTTACATATTATGTTTTAATAAAATGTTAAAAACGAATCCTAAACGTTAAAAAAAATATTTTTAATTGTTTTTTATGTCAGAGTATTCGATTATTTTCCATTTAAAATTTTTGCGCCACTGGAGTCTGGAAAATAAAATTTGATGGATAGTGGATGCGATTAATGATAAGTAACTACAGAAATAATTAATAACTTATTATTAGAAATATTCATAATTCCATATTAAATAAAAATGGCACAAAAAAAGGTGTGTACTTACATGTTCAAGGATATCCTGTTTAGAAGATGGAGAACAGACATATTATATCGTATCAAGTGCCAAGGAATAATATCACTGTTCATTTTAGAATAAAGTTTAATTAAGTTGTAATTTTTTTGAAACTTTCTTTTTCTTCTGTATTCAATGGCACAATGAAAACCCATATTATTAAATAAAAAATGTTTTTGCTTTAAATATTTATAATTTAACAATTTTGATTAAAGTAATAATAATTAGACTACAATTAAGGCGCCAATAGTTGTTATGCACTCCGAGTTCCGACTTCCTAATGTTTGTGCTCGATTATTGCACTGCTGACAAACCAAACAGCGAGCATGTTACGACAAGTCCGCGCTTTTATGATGTTGGGGCTTTAAAGTTCAAACTCTGAATCATACACAAAACATATGGAAAATAATTTCGTCATTTTTTAGTTAGAACAAGATTTTATAATCAGAAAGAAAGTTTTATCAATTACTTTTATTTTCTTTTTCAATAGAGAAAAGGAATATCCCACAGGACACGCGTGACGTGGCTAGTCATATAATGTGTATTTTCAACTTACTAAACTAACTACTTAATAATTAGACTAACAATTAAAAGTCTAATGGTTAGGAAGTACCTATAGCCGCAGATCCATTGGTTATGGATTCAATTCTGTCAAAAAATGACCAGTAACAGCCCTTGCTTTGTAAAACTTATTTAAATAGCTCGATGTTTAATTTATTCAACTAATGTTACATTAATATAGTCGATAACTAGCAACTCACCCTCGCTTCGCTCGGGTTCGTCCCTAGGTACCTTTTAACGGTTAGCATGAATACAATTTTTTGAATTTCTCGGCTTTTCTGTACTATAATATGCTGTAAGCTGTATTATACATATATACCTTCCTCTTCAATCACTCTATTGCTGAAAACTGCATTAAAATCCGTTGAGTAGTTTAAAAGATCTAAGCGAACAGAGCGGAAGCGACTTCATTATATACTATGTATAGAAGCATAACAACTGTCAGTTGTCATTCTCAATAACCCTTCGATCAACAATACTACTAGATTTCGGGTCGGCGTAAGAAATCCGTCTCGGTAAATATAAGTTTACTTGCAAAGTGAGCGTATATTTCGATTAGTTCTATTGAAACACTGTAAGCGTAAGCACGATCAAAGTTAAAGTAAAGTTGCAAAAATACTGCGCAAAGAAGATTTTTTTCTGACGGAGTGTCTCATTTTCGGACTTTTCACTTACTGAGTATAAAATCACAAAATGCTGACGCTCTTGATTGATGCTGGATTATTAATAATTATTATGTTATGTTCAGATGCCATAATAAAAGAAAAGGACAGGGGAATATTTAAAAAAAATATTATAAATTTATTTTTAGAAAAAACATAAAACAAATAAAACATTAAAATTTTATCAAATTTTCGAGCGTTTAAAACTTGAACTTTAATTAAATAAACCGTTATTTAAAATGAAAAATAATGAAAGAAACCTAAAAATGATTTTTAAATACCTATTCAACGATACCCCATTTGACATCGTTCGTCAGTTTTAATTTTTTTTCTTTTTCACATTTTGGCGTCCAAAATCGGCCATTTTGAAATTTTCCAAATTTTTATGCTTTCTATAGCATTCGCGCCATCATGACGAATCAAACGACGTGTCATTTATCAAAATCGCGTTTGGTCTAAATAGTGCCACAAAGGTACAAACCCACATACATACACACAGGCTGGTAAACACATTACCCTCGCTTGAGTCGCGCAGTCGGCTAAAAAATCCAAGTTATCACAGCCCAGTTTTTTGTTAAGAGAGTTTTTTGTATCTGCTATGTCAAAATATAACTTACTTAAATTATGGTGAAAGGATTTGAATATTATAAAATAATATAATTTGGCACAAAATAATTATTTATTGAAAAAAAAAACTATTATTATACCTGTCACAATTTTACAACTAAAACAAAGAAATTTGCAATGTAAAATTGGAAATTTTTCGTTAACTTTTTATATATACGAATGGAAACGGAGATTGTATTTAAACTGTAGCATTTCGTTAGATTTTGTTGTAATAAAGTTTCAAGTATATTTCTTTTTTAAAACTCATGCTTAACACATCAAAATTATTTTTCTAAATGCTTATTACATATCACTTATAAATATCTATATAACTTAATCTTATAATGACAAGTGTATATGTGAAAAATATTTCGGAATTCGGAACTAAATAATATAGAGCATCACAAGACATTTGACGACACGTTTGGCTCAGTTTGTAGTGGCCTTACTTGCTGTTCCAGCGGCAGTGGCTTTGAGTCCCGCTGGGGGCATTCATTTTTGTGATGAGCACTAATGTGTGTATGTACTCCAGTCATGGGTGTTAATTTTTATAATATGTATGTATTTAAAGTTATGTGTGTAATGTATCAACTATCTGGTATCCATAACACAAGCCTCGTAGCTTACCATGGAACTAGAAGATGCTGTGGGTTAATGTCCCAATATATTTATTTATTTGAAAACGTTCTAAGTAAAGCCCTAATTACTTATTTAATATTTTGTTTAGATGCGTTCAAGTTAATGTTGTGATTAATAGTGACATATTTATGTTGTCTATGGCACATTTTGAAATAATTTTAAAATATTTTGTTATCTATATATATAAAAGAAAGTCGTGTTAGTTACTTCGCTTATAACTCAAGAACGGCTGAACCGATTTAGCTGAAAATTGGCAGGGAGGTAGTTTAGAGCCAGGAGAAGGACATAGGATACTTTTTATCCCGTTCGACCGCGTTCCAATTTTTATGATATTTTAATTTTTGGATTTCTCTTAGTCCGGAATAGGTAAGTATTAAAACATATAATTAAAATGTGAGAAAGAAAGATTTTTTCTTTTTATATCTATTTAAAACGTACCTAGCGACGAACCCGAGCGAAGCGAGGGTGAGCCGCTAGTAATTTGTTAAATACAAAATAGATAGTGGCCGTTGACATAATTTCTACATCCACAGTGACACAAAATACATACATTTCACTTTTGTTATAGAACTTGTAATATTTTATTAATAAAAACTAATTTAATAACGTAAAATTATGTACAAGTGATTTTTTACGTATTGATTCCATAAATATATATTTAAAATAAACATGAGGGTCTTGAGATCATAATTTAATGTTTTAGTTTTATTATATACCTAAATGTATTATTTAAGACCCATTTTATTAAATTATATATACTTAAAAGATAAATTAAATTATTCACATTATAATACTTGTGCATAAGAAACAATTATTTTTTTTACAATAGAAACACACGATAGTTTTACGAGAATTACGTTTATAGATAAAACTTAAAAAAAAGCACGAATCGACATAAACATAGCCATTCTAAAAATTATAATGGTAGATCTATTCTCAAACAGTCAAAATATTCCACGCAAAAATACCAGGCTATACAAAGTGACAGATAGCTTAGATACTTTAGAATAAAAGCATTGAATTGAATTACTTTAGCTGTAACAACTTAATGTTTCATCGTAGGTACAATTTTAAACTACCTTATTTTTTACCAATAAAATATATAGTATCAACTTCACATCATTACTAAGGCTCAAATCTAAATAGTTTATTACTAACGAATACAGGTCGGATTTAAAGTAAACACAGCTAAATTAAAAATATAGGAAATTATTCATATTGCTTAAAAGAAATTAATATAAAATTAACCTACACAATATATGTAACTATTAATTCAGGAACGATTTTGTAAGATTAATTCACTATTTTTATGAATATAAATAATTAAACTAACAAGTTTTTCATTATATTTACATATAATGTAAGTTATAGGGATATTTTGAATGGTGGAAACATTGTTGAAGATATACTTTCCATAAACTGAATTTGAAGTTGTGATGGAACTAGCAAAATAATTCAAATAAGTCTATTTTATCGACTTTTTGCATATCAATATTAAAAATCGATAACATTCGAGATTCTAACAAATTCATTTATTTATTTTAAAATGAATATTATGCCGCGCTCTTATTAAAACAACTTCGAATTAAAAACTTACCTAAAAGTAATGCTGTGTGCATTTCACACAAAAAAACCGAAACTAAATTTTGTGCAGTGATAATTTATTATTCGGGTCAACATAGACAAATATTTCATTGCCACGGGAAAACACAATATTTAATTGGTACATTCGAGTCGTTCATAGAAATTTACATGACTAAACTTTAAGAGATACATCAAAATAATGTACTAGAAAATGGTAGGTCTTAGAAAAGGTCTACGGCATACGGCTACGGCTTGTGGCTAATAAGTAAAATGTGAGTATGATAATACATATTTACTATACGAACCGTTATACTTACTCAATTTAATACGATGAGTCATCGCTAAGCTACTTTATATATATATATATATATATATATATATATATCAAATAATAGTTATATGCTATACCATATGTATATAGGCTCACTAGCTTTATTCTAAGGAAGACTACATGGTGCGAGTGTGTACATTATTACATCTACCAAAAGAATGCAATCATATCCTCCATTCTTTACTTCTAACAGATGCCTAATACTAGAACGATAGAAATATTACAATATTTTATGTACTCATACAATATGTAAAGTTTTTACTGCCTCGGTGGTATAATGGTCAGCATGTACGACTGCACATCAGCAGGTCCTGGGTTCGAGTTCCGGTGTCGGGCCAAGATTTTGAATCATTCTGGCATGGAAGTCCAAGAAACAGCCCGAAGTTGGGATGTTGGCAATGTTTTACCCCCGTGCCTCGGAGCACACGTAAAGCCGTGGGTCCTGCGCATTTACTCTCACCGGACGTGTCGAAGTATTGTCCCATCGGACTGAGTGAAAGGAATAGAGAATGCACGTTGTGTTTGCGCGAACACTTGTGCACTGTAATATCTCGGCATCTAGCTAGTCTACGTGAGATTGGCCGCCGTGGCCGATATCGGTGAGTAAGATATTATAATCATGTAACATTTCTATTACTCAAATTATTTCTCTCAGTTCTTTTAAGCAAGAGCGGCATTACACATGTAATCAAATCATCTCCTACATTTCAATACCTTTCAACTAAATGTTCCAGGATGAATCTATCCCAATACACTTATTATTATATTTTTAAACATTTATCATATCATAAGCTAATGTTTTTTAAACGTGGTGGCAGTAATAAATACATGTTTAAAGCGTAACTCCTAATTACTAAGTAATAAATTATATTAATAAAAAATACTTATAACGAACAACAAGTTGCCAACTTCAATATAATACGTAGTTTAATGTCTTATTTCATTCAATCAATTTTTATCACTGTTTATATGTATATTGTATATTATATAGCATAAATTATAAAATAACATATTATTATTGTATTGGGTGTGGTGGAAAGGTCGGCCCTAGCTACGTCGACCAGTTATGGTTCTAAAATTACATAAGTTTTTTGCTTCTATTGTAAAAATATCCAGTACAAAAGTGTTATTATTGTCACCAATTGGTCACCCATCATGTGTACGTCGCAGTTGAAACAGCTTACTTAGGTGGTTAGGTAAAACTATAAATATTTCTCTTTCTCCCGCTGCTATATCAACTTCACAATATATTTTTCAGTTTTAATTGAAGTTGACAACTTATTTACCCTATACAATAGTATAGTAAAGATTGTGTAATCTAAAACCGAACGTCCCTCTGCAATTTATTATTATGCAATAAAATGACGCGCAATTATAATTTGTAATAAAACTTAATTTAAAGTTGTATATAACAACTTCGAGACAAATTATCTAGTTTCCTTAAATTATTCAATCATAAGTGTAAAGGCTCATAAACAAGAATCCATACAGAAACAAAGTTTCAAACAACAGAGTAACGATCAGGGGCAGATATATGTATATATTAAGGTATTTTTCCAGGTCGGGCTGTAGACAATCTCAGGCCGAGCGCGTCACGTACCTACAACAGCCGCCATATTGTCGTCTTAGTCCTAGCTAATTCGACCAAATGACCAATTTACCGACAGAGTTTTTAATACAGAATTATTAATATTTTAAATGTCAATTGTATTGGTATAAAATACACATTTTACTTTAAAAAAGTCGAAAAAATGTGTTTTATCTCGTAAACCTACTGTATATATACATCTTTGAAATAAAGTGTGTTTTTAAAATAGCTGGAAAAAACTACTCATTAAAATCTGAAGCTTTGTCTCGTGTAAGATGCTTACTATTGTGGTAGAGTGAAGTTAAGTTTTAGATAAGACAATTTATAATCTCATTCTAAGTCGTTTTAAACACGCTCTATATATTTACGCAGTTACTACTTAATATTACTAATAAGATAGCATTTTCGGCAAGTCGGCTAGGTTCGCAACTGTCACTCGCCAGTTTCAGATCAATGAATTATAATTAATAATAATAACTAAACTATAGTACCCGAAAGTAAATAATGCACATCGTATTAGAAAGAGATAATTGGTTCGCTTCATTTTTATAGAGCATTGTCTTTGTCGCACAAAGGACTTAAAGAGTCCCGTCTCTATTTAGAGGTAACGTGTCTAAAACATCTATATTAAATTAATGCTGAGGGTTTCAATAGCTTTTTATAAGAAGAAGAGTTTTTAAAGCAGAATTTTTGTTTTTTAAATGTCAATTCTATTGATATAAAATACACATTTTACTTTCAAATAGCCGAAGAAATGTATTTTATCTATACATATATTCATAAATCTTAGAAATAAAGCTTTGTTTTTATAGTAGAGGAAAAAAACTCTGTACTGTAAAGTACAACAAGTATTGGTGGTTTAAATAAATAAGTACTAAGGCGACAAATTCAGCAACAAAACGTCATAAATAGAACATTGTTATTCAAATATAAATATTTTTGGCATTTTCTCCAATTTTCTAAGACGACGCTTTACAAAGCCGAAGCTAGCATCTATTAAATCTATCTCTTTCTAATAATCGATATCTCTTATTTACTGTCAAGTACATATATTTTATTACTAGTATTCTTCATAGTCGTAGTAATCGTCATCCTCTCCATTTTTCAACATAGCGGCGAGCGACAATTGTTCATTGGGCTCTTGGATTTCTGTATCTAAGTCTTCCTCGTAATCATCTGCAGCATCTATTGAAAAGTAAATGTTAATACTTTATTAAATTTACGCGAATATTTGACATTTTATATGAAACATAAAAAAAATACAAAAATACCCATGTTTTGTATTTTTTGAAATCATTTTATAATTTTGTTGGTGAGTAGGTACGTACTGTCTATAGCAACTGTATAATAACAACTGCTGAAAAATGTTTATAAAGTTTCAAGCATTCAAAACGTCACGACCAAAAATCAAAATAAATCTGCAAAAAAAACCGAAAGGATAGTTTTATTCAAAACTAGCGGCTCACGTTTACAAAAACGTTTAGTATAGATTTCTCAGAGATGAGATATTTTCCTGTAGTAAAAAGTATCCTATATGTTGACCCGGATAACCAGCTATCATCATATCAAATTTCATCAAAATCCCTCCAGTAGTTTTTCCGTGATGCGGTAACAGACAGACAGACAAAAAATTCAAAAACTATAGATTCAGCCTCTGTATCGCTAATAATGCCTATTTCAATAGGATTTTCCAAAAAATATTTAATGTACAGATTCGGCTTAGTTACAATTTTATTTATATGTATTATATGTATAGATAAATGTTAGTTCAATTCGATCAATTACTAACTTTGTTTAATATGTATTTGTCTATTTTTTATAATTATTGATTATAATTTGTGAAGCTATAATAGAAGATAGACGTATATAGTGTGTGATTGTTACTATTTCTTTTATTTCTTGATGAAATTTAGTATAAAGATAGATATTTTTCTATAAATATACCTTGTATGTGCGTGGGCGTGGGCGGCGTGGGCGTAGGCGGCGTGGGCGTGGAGGGCGCGGGGCTCGCAGGCACGGTGTTGAGAGTGGGAGGAGCCTTCTTTTTGCGCTTGCGAGCGGGAGACGCGGGCACCGCCGGCGATGCGGGCACTACGAGAATTGGTATCTTTTGCCTGGAAATTAACGTGTATAAATAACAATAATAATATAATCCTTATTGAACACAAATAAACAAATGAATAATTAATACACAAAGAAAATATGTACAGTTGGCGGTAGATATACACATATTTATGTTAAGTCCATATTTAATACTATAAATTTAATGTGAATGTGTATGTTTATTTGTCCTTCTTTCACGTCGAAATAGAACTGGAGAGTGACATAAGCTACTTTTTACCGCGAGAGATTATCTCATTAACTACTATCTCCATGTTTTTATCACTCTATTTGTTTCCTTTGATCTACGGAACAAATTAACTGATTTAAACGGCGCTTAAATGTTTGATTTAGGATTCGTAAAACAGTGTCATTTCTATTAAAAAAATAATTCCATAGAATAGAGAATAGAAAAAGAATAGCTCAATAGATTACAAAGTTACTTCCTCTGGCAGGTAGAAACATTTTCTCCCATTAATATTATAATTGCGAAAGTTTGGATGGATGTTTGTTACTCAATCACGACAGAACGGGTGAATGAATCCGGATGAAATTTGACACAAAGATAGATTATCGTCTGGAATAGCACATACGTTATTTTTTATCCCGGCAAAATGTACGGTTCCCGTGGAATAGATTTGTTTTTGTTTTTCAGTATTTTCTAATATGTTTTACCAACTTCAGTTATACTTACTCTTCTTCAGTTGGGGGAGTCATAACTGGTGTGGACGGAGCCATCACAGTTCCCGGTTGGTCCAAACTCTTCAGTATATCATAGTTTATCTTAGAACTGATCTTCTTCTCAGCCAGCATCTTGCCGATGGCCTCGCCGGCGGTAGCGGCGTTACATGCCACCTTCTTTCTGTAGGAACCTCGCACCTTGCGCTTTTTGTCTTTCCCTTCCTCTCGTTCTTTTGCTCGTAATTCTTCTTTAACTGTAAATTTTGTTCTGTTTTTTATATGTACATACATATTTGGTAAGGCAACTTATTGAGTTGTTCGATTTGAAACTTAGGTTATCGGGTCAGTTGTTGATTAAACGTATATAAAAACATGAAAAAATATTTATCTTAAATTATACAGTTAAAGTTTAAATATTTCATATGTTCGTCATATAATTCCTTAAAGTCTGATTCTTCAAAAAAATACATCACCAACACCTACGATGAATATTTGTTAAAGTTATATGCAAGTATACCAACAAAAATCTTTGAATTTAATTCAGCGATTAAAATAAAACTTAGATTTATTAGGTATTCAAACTACAACAAAGCACATTAATATTTAAACTTACTCTTTATGTGATGTGTAAAAAGGATCATATTGTTAGCTAGCACCATAGTTATCCGTTAAACACAAGTAAACAATACAACGCTATACTTTTAATATATATGTATGTATAATCTATACACTATTACCTACAGATCATGAACGAATTAACCACTGGACCAGACATATAAGCGGACGTACCTTCACCGGTCATGTCAGTAACCAGGGTAATTTTAGCCTAGGTCGTTTGTTTTTTGTGTCAGTCTCAAGCACTTACTTGTCAACAAAACATCTCCCAAAAATGACTAAATGTTCTGTTAAATGGTGTAAAAACTATAACGGCGGAAGCAGCAATATTTCTTTTCACTTGTAAATACATTATTTTATTACATTTATTGTTATTTATCACAAAATTTAATTTAATGTAAAATAAAATGTCATATTATCCAACTATGTTAAATATAGTCGATATTTCTATGTATTGTTGACATCTGACAACCATCATAAACGGGCTGGATTATACCATTCAGAACAAATGACAAAATTGTCGAGTGAGTCCATTTGACAACGACTAGTGCTTGACAATGTCGAAAAATATATCGATATTTGACGAAATAACTGAACGAATTGTGTTATTTGTACAGTACAATAACATAAAATATTTTATCACAGTATCATACAATCTGATGACAATCTATACTTATTATAAAAATAAGTCCCCCGGCCGCGTCTTTCTGTCCTCCTGTCTGTCCTCCTGTCTGTCTGAACGCGATAAACTCGAAAACTACTGAACGGATTTTTATACGGTTTTCAACAATAGAAAGAGTAATTCTTGAGGAAGGTTTAGGTATATAATTTATTATGCTTTTATGTAAATTAGCTGAAATACGGCGACAAATGTTGAAGAGGTCGCAAAAAATCTCGCCAAATGGGAACTTTCCACGCGAACGCCGCGTAAACTAGCAAAGATACAGTTAAGTAATGTACTAGAGAATTCAAAATCTATAAAAATGCTACAAAAAAGTCCGCGATAGCATATCTCTATCTCTTACGGTTGACTTACAATAACCACTTTTATGTTAACATTTTTAATTAAAAACATTACGTTATTTTCAAAGTTATTTTCTTTAGTTCGGTATTAATCCTTATCCAAATGAATATTTTAGTTAGCTTAGTCATTTAATGCAGATTAAAATTGCTCTTTACACTAAATCAATCAGATGAATAGTTTTTGAGATATCGTTGTTAGAAGTAATTAGTAGCGAAACATTTTTAATGCTTGGCGAGCATTGAGATGCCTACGGCGAGTCCATCCCCTCTGCCCCGCATCGCTCGACCGCCTGCTCAAGCTATATAAACCGGGCGATGTAGCGCGCGATCCTAGGATACTTTTTACCGCGGGAAAATATCTTATTTCTGAGGAAAAATACAAAAACTGCAATGTAAGAGTATACTAATATGTAACACCTAAGAATTTAGTTTTTGGTCATCTGAACGCGGGCGGAGCCGCGGGCAATGCTAGTAAATTTATAAAAATATTTTCTGAATCAAATAAAAATATAAATGCAAAAATTATAATTAGTATGTGTACTTTTTTTTATTTTATTTTATACCACATTTATATACTTTGGAATATTATTCCATTGTAATAATAATAAAGATCATTTTATTTCAACACATAAATTACACAAAATCAAACAATAATGTTTTAGCACTAAACTTCTGGGTTGGCGATTTGTAATAAAACACTTTACCACTTGCACTAATTATTTTACTTTCACGATCCAACACTCACTTTTTCACAATTTGCAATCACTTTTTCTTTTTCCTAATTTCACAAATGTTTGTTAAGAACTGAGCAATATTAGGAAAGTATCAGATTTTTATAACTACCCGAGACAATCAATTGCCAATTAAAATAGTTCAATAACAGAATCAACAAAATCACTTTATTTAATTAAATTAGCTTAATATTTTTTTAATCTTTACAAAATAATATTTATTATATATTAATGGAATATACACCCGATATTCATTTGTTCATTATCATTAACATTATTATAGGCCAACAGAATGTAGCCATCAATGCCATCGTATTTATATAAATCAAATTAAAAAAAATATGTTTGACGACATGTTTGGCTCAGTTTGTAGTGACCCTACTTGCTGTGCCAGCGGTCGCGGGTTCGAGTCCCGCTGGGGGCATTCATTTGTGTGATGACAAATGTTTGTACTCCAGTCATGGGTGTTTATATTTATAATATGTATGTATTTAAAGTTATATATGTGTAGTGTATCAACTATCTAGTATCCATAACACAAGCCTCGTAGCTTACCATGGAACTAGATGGCGCTGTGTGTTAATGTCCCAACATATTTATTTATTTATTATTTAATTATTATTTGACACATTATTATTGCCTCTTTAATTCATTTATTTTAATTTATTATATAAATACAGATATTTTAAATTAAAAGTAGTAAAATATGATGACTATGCTTACAAATGTCTAAAATGTCATTCATTAGTTCATCGATATATGTATTTTATCGATTACGTTCAAGCACTAGAAATATTGTATTGTGTATCAGTGTTTATAATAATGTAATAAAATCTTTGTGTGCGTTATGCGTCACTTCGTTGAACTAGTTTTCATACATTTGTATTTTATGTCAAGTCCAGTCTCTAATTCGTCCATGCTACAGATAATAAAAACTTACTTTTTTGCTCCTTCAAATAATCAGCATTGATATTGTGCCACAGTGAAGTTTTGTGTCGAGCTTCTTCCTCGGTCATAATGAGAGAGTTGATATATTCCTCTTCTTGGTTACTGAGGAGCAAATCTTCTGCGTTATGAAGATCTCTGTTCATGGTCTTCGCTTCAGGTTTAGCGAATTTGTCAGACTTATCCTCCGTTTGTCCTAATCCTATAACTGCCAACTCCGGCCCTGCATAAACAATAAATGATATAGTAATCCTATTTTCCATATTCATAAATCATTATGAAGGCTATCGCGCTTGATTTCGCCTTGAAAGGCGCTGGTATAGCAAGAGGTCTCTAGAAATGTCAAATGTCACTGAACGTATACTGTGTGCGAATTTTTTCATCGCAAATTTTCACTAATTATTCATTATTGCTGAAAAAATTGTGCTATTTCTGATTAATTATGGCAGACATACGGCACGGCTTAAAGAAAACGGTTTTTCGTAACATAGGTACGGGACTGTGCAACACTAAGTCATAATTATTATATATTTTTTACAGAGGCTTTTTACATATCAAATATATTGTCTTTAATTTAAAATCAATTTTATAATATGTAAATTATAGGTATATTTCTACTAAAAAATATAAATAATCTTTTGAAATAACCTTTTTAATTTTTATTCAAATTATTTTGACTTTCTTGTCTTAACTTTTAGTGTATTAACGTGAAAAACTAAAAAATCTTTATGTAGATAGAGGCATATTGACTAAGCATGTCAAATGTAACAATATAAATTAAGCAAACTAATAAACATCCTTTGCCTAGATGCGCCACAGTTGTCATGTTCCTCTAAAAATAAAATCTAAGTAATGTATACATAATATAATGACATTCTGACTCGAATCTGTACATCAAATATTTTTTTGGAAAATCTTATTGAAATAGTTATTATTATCGATACAGAGGCCGAATCTATAGTTTTTACAATTTTTGTCTGTCTATCTGTGTGTTTGGGAACGTATCACGAGAAAACCACGGCACAGATTTTAATGAAATTAATATGATAATAGCTAGTCATCCGGTCAATATATAGGATACTTTTTACTGCGGGAAAATATCTCATCTCTAAGAAATCTATACTAAACGTTAAAACGTAATTAACGCTAGTTAGATATATAAAATAACTAGCCGTCACCACCCCACCGCTTTACTGGGCGTACGCGAATGGTTTCTTTTGGTCGTCAGAGTCGCTAATGTATTTTTAGGTTTTTCGCTTATAAATTAAATATTAAAATATTAAAATAAAAAAAATATTAAAAAAGACAAATGATTACAAAAAGTGTACGTCAAATGATTACAAAAATGAGGCCGTCAGCGCAAAGGTAGCCTAACCCACTGCCAGCTGCTTTGGAGGAAATGGCTGTTAAATATTTTCATATAAATATTTTAAAATTTATTTATATTTTTTTATTTAGCACTAACTTGAGTTACCGGGTTAGGCCATTAATGTATTATAAATATAATTTTTAGGCCAAATTTTTAAATATTTTATTTAGGCCAAATCGTATGTAACTTTTCTCAAGCTGCTATTATGATAGTTTTATTCTCTTAATAATTTAAAAAAAAATGTGGATTAGGCTATTTTTGCACTGACGGCCTGGAATAGCTTAAAAGTCTAGTGTAATTTTTTCGTGACAAAGGAAAAATCGCTATATATTCGCTGTATATTTAAATAAAAATAAGTTATAAGAAGTTGATTGTATTATTGTGTTTTATTACCAAGTCCTTTTTCCAGTTTTTCTTTGGCTGAATTAGCATCCTCTTTTGGCTGAACATCCTTTGCTATTTCACCTATAAGCGACAGCGCGTCTTCGGCTGCGAACCGAGACGCCTCTGCATCTTCCGAATCTCCATCATCTGAATCACGTAAAATAAACCAATTAAAAGATTTAAATTTAACAAATATATTCTAATTATCTTTGATATAAATAAAAAAAAGAAGCTTTTACCTACTATTTTCGCATTTATTCAAGTGTTTTTATGATCTTTATAAATCTTTACTAACATAAAGAGACAAGATACGCCACCGACAATTATATGTATTATGTATTCAGCCCTTTTTAACTTCTCACAACTGGGCATAGGCCTCCTTTCGATACGAGAGGGAGCTTTTAATTTACATATTTTTAATACATAAATAATTTTTATATTTGTGCAAATCCTAATTTTTCAGGCATTAATAGTAGACTGGTAGATAGGTATAACGAATCCTAGATTGACATTAAACCACGCTTAAAAACATAACGTTATTGTTATAATAAATAATAATAAGATTTATTATAGTGTCTACCGGAAAAGTTTCAAAATTTATATGAGTCATTAATAATTTAGAACTAGCCGGAAATTCAGAACATTGACAAAAAAATTAAATCGACGTAACATGCCTGTATGGTATCAATTATTTAAAAACAAATTAAGTAGTTTTTGTCATTTACTCAGAGTCCAATTTTATAAAGTTATAATTTTTTTATATGTTAATTTATTCCCCGAATTATGCAAAAATGTATTCTTATAACGAGTTTTATAATATTTCATCATATGTGCGATATAAAATTATTGTCAGTTAACAAGTTTCAATACATATATCTAATAATTAGATTACAGATCCATAAATGAAATATATTTTATTTTTAGAACAATGGATTCCAGCAGGATAGTGGATGGAAGATTGAATGTAAGTTATGTCGAAACACATCTTGCACAGCTTCATTTTAACATGAATTTCCGTTACGCCTGCTCTCAGTCGTTTAATAATCAAGCCACTTCTGGCGGTGATTTCACAAGTCGCTTGACGAACAAAATTGATTCACCTCTTGCCCTCAAATCCAACAGCGAATACAAAGAATTCACACTCGCTTACACTCGAGAATACGAAGCCATATAACTTTGTCACTGATATTTAATTGCAAGGTCATATAACATACAAACATTTAAAATAATAATACATACCTGATATTTATCCATAAAAAATACAATAAAAAAAACTAATTAGCAAGTGCGAATAAGTTTCCTAGTTAGATTAATTTTAATCAAACAAATTTTAATCGAAATAAAAATAAAAAACATATTTTTGTAAAGGCGTAAAATACGTTTTGGTTAAGAAACGTTATCATCTATGTATTGAATAATGAGGTATGTTTTTATAAAATTCGAAATGGTAAATTATTACAAAGTAATTGATGAGAGATGAGATTAAAACGGAAGATTTTTATAGCACCTTTTGTATAACTATAAGATGCTTGTGTATAAAGTTACTCAAGAAATATCTAAATGAAAATAAAGTCTTGGTGGCATTTATATGATCTGCATACAATATGTGCTTTCACTTTATATTTAATGCGATTCTTTACTTAAAATGTTTTTAAAACATATACTTAGATTTTTTTGGTTACCGACCGGACCGCGAGTAAGTAAGGCTAGTAATTATAATAAGACCATAGAAAAGTCATATCTATACATAAAATTCATCATTTGATGATTTATTTACATATAAAAGTATATATAGTGGCACTGGCTAATTTAAAAATGACTTCTTTTTGGTATAATATTTACTCACCAATAGTCATCGTTGGAATAGGCGGTCCAACATTCATACGCTTTCGTTTTGTAGCGTCTTTGTCCAACTGAGATTCTATTTCTCTTTGTAGCTCAGTCAGTTCTTTTTCGCCATCTTCTTCCTCCATTAACTAATCACCAGGTCACAATATTAGAACATTATGTAAAAAAATAATCATAATTCACATAACTGGCAATAAGCTCTTTAGAAACTTCACATTAATTTAGTGGGTAACGTGTACTTTTTTAAAATAAAATATAAAATATCTTTTCGGTTTATTTCGCGGATTTATTTTGATTTTTTGTTCCCGACGTTTCGAATGCTTTACAGCAATCACAGTCACGTGAGAGACGAAGGTTTTAGACATCTCAAAGGCGTTATATACTGTTGTAACAAGTATCCGTATCCGAAAAGATGCACACAACAACATTAATAGCAATGTTTTGTTAACTCACTTTCTGTAATCGATCTTTATCCCTTTTCCTCGCAGCTTTGAAAGCGGGAGGGTCTTGTTCTTCTTCCAAGTCTACAGTCATGAATTCATCAAGAGTGAGCGCGCTGGAGGGAGTTTCACCAAATTCTAACAACCTTTTACGGAGTGTTGTTTCGTGTATTTTGACGATTCGTACAACATCCGCTGGAGTACGTGAGAAATCATGCAAACGCGCCGCTATGAGTAGCGCTGGAATAAACACGATAGAACATTTGTTAATATTATTGATCATAATTGATAGTTTACTGGATCTTGTCGACGATTTCACTATATATAATCTATTATAAGCACAAGAAATGAAAGGCAAGAATAATATATTTGATAATTTTGAATACATTTTATATAGTAGCGAGCAACAAGCGGACTCGTGTTCACAGATTGTTAAGTAATAACATAAATTATAGAAATCAAATTACATACAAACATAAATTATAATTATAGAAAGGCATATACGTCAGGAAACTTTTGATAGCAGAAACATTTACGTGCAACACTACAAACACCCAACTAATATATTTTTTAGTTATAGAAATAAAACATTACATACATGTGTAAAGAAATAATCATTACTTTTCCAATTAATTAAAATGATAAAGGTCATACCCGCGCCACAAACTCCGGAAGGTCGGCGACCGGAATGTATGGAATCCCTCTTCATCCTTTGCACCAGGCGTAAGGCGGTCATACTGACCTCGTGCTGTTTATCTTCAAATTTCAGTTGGGACGCGAATCGGAGAACATACAAACATGGATCTGAAACAAAACGAACGCGGAAGGTAATTTTTGAATAACTGTTGTTATACTGGCGTGTCCTTCTTGTGAAGCGGAAGAGCCATTTTCGTAAAGAGAAACAGTTATTATTTTTATGTGTTACTTGGTCCTCGACATTTTAGATGACTTTTGATGAACATTTAGCCATTATGTTTTTTAATCTACTAAAAATACTGCTAATTATAGAAGATATATTATTCACTATTCACTCGAGGACTTACTTCTCCCAAACATTCGTATTTATAATATTATTATTATAGTATTTTGACGACACGTTTGGCTCAGTTTGTAGTGACCCTACTTGGTGTGACAGCGGTCGCAGGTTCGTGTCCCGCTGGGGGAATTCATTTGTGTGATGAGCACGAATGTGCGTACTTCAGTCATGGTTGTTTATATTTATAATATGTATGTATTTAAAGTTATATATGTTTAGTGTATCAACTGTCTGGTATCCATAACACAAGCCCCAGTTAATGTCCCAAAATATTATTTTTTTATTTATAATACTGATTATAAATAATTTCATTATTATATATTTATACTATTTTTGTATTAATAATATTACTAGCAGAAACCGCAGCTTCGCTCGCGCTAGAACTAAAAAAACCTCTAAAAAACTAGATTTCATACAAACTTCTATCCCCTATTTTACCCCCTTATGCGATGAATTTCGAAAAATGCTAAAACACGTATTTATTTAATTGTATAAAAAAGCAGTAATACCAAATTTCAAGTATTTCTGATCATAAATAATTTTTGGGTTGTATTATAACATGTTTCCCGTGGGAATCTCCCGCAGTAAAAAGTAGCCTATGTCACTCTCCTTTCCTCCAATTATCTCCACACAAAAAGTCACGTCAAACCGTCATTCCTTTTCGACATAAAAGAAAGACAAACAAACAAAGAAACAAACAAACATACTTTCACATTTATAATATTAGTATAGATTATAGGGATAGAAAACAACTGAGCCACGATAAAATTAAAACGATGACAAAATTGACCGCGTGGCGTCCAGCTACAAAACTTACTTCTTAAGGTATTGCGGAATTATAAAATTTTAAAGGAATCTTGTATTCCTGCTGGCCGATTTCGACCGTCGCGGTTAATCTCACTGACTCTAGCAATATGCGTAGAAAATATTATTGTGTACAAGTGTGGGCGCGAGAACTACTCCTAGTATTACTCGAAAAATCCGAGACCGAGTTATCTAACCTGGGGGCTTAGCCATATTACAAACGTTTCCTATCTAATCTCTTTCTATCATTGGTAGCGTATTGTCGATAGCTATTTTAGAAAACGATTTGATGCTAGCCATATCAACAAAACTAGTGTCTACAGTGTCAATCGTTCATTCTACAATGTGGATCGAAAAATAGCTTATTGTGAGCGTTCCTATACACGTCAAAGTCACGGTCTTGTTTGAAAAATCAAAATATGTTTTGTTTTGTGATAAAAAAGTGAGTGAATTATAATGGAAATACTTGAGTGTTCAATATTCTTATTTTAACGTAAGGATATTTACATTTTACGTCAAGAATGCAGCTTACGTGAGGTCGATGTAGAGTGGATGTTTTTGTTCAGCACCTATGAAGTGGTTGATAAGTGATTTAAAATCGTCGCTTAAGTAAGTATAGCATTCCTTCAGAGTAATTAATTTATATTTTATTTGACAAAATGAAGTGACTCGTAATGTAAGTCGTCACTTTAAGAAAAATAGTTTTGTCTTAAAAAGGGTCTATTGAAATATTTATGTATTTGACTTTGTAGTTGTTAGTGTTACGGGGATGGAAGTGCGCAACGGAGGGGAAAGAGCTTTACTTTAAAATGGGTTAGTTAGCTTAAGTTCGACACATTTCTAGCTGGGGTACTGAGTCTGTGTGTGTTGTTAATATCACAGTGCCAAATATAAATAAATTATTATAGTGAGGATGGAGTCCAGATGCCGAGCTAGCCCAGAACAATTTTCAGCTTTACTAGAATTCATGGAAAGGTACGTATATTATTATTAGTTATCTCAGCTTATAGTCATACTCAGGAACTAGAAAAAAACGAGGCTACTCTTACTGAGGCTTTAAACTATAACTGTATATTTCAACAATGTAATGTAGACATTTTCCCTAACACCTTAAGTTTATTTAAAGAGAAATTGTATTTAAATATTTAGATAAGATTAAATTGTTGAACAACTTCAATGTCACTACCAATTTTAATTTATTAGAAGACAACACCGGGGTACCTATATTGTCAATATATAATATCCACTTTTTGCCCAGTTTTGTTTATTGGGCCATAAATTTTTTGTTTCTTGGCCGATTTCGATGTTTTTTTTTCAATTAATGGAGGATAAAATGCACTTTGATTTGATGATATATATATATATATATATATATATATATATATATATTTATTTGTTGTATATTATTTATCATATTTGCGTTTTGTCGCATTATATAGGGGATTGTAACTGAAGATCTTTTTTAATTTATTCCTCAACCACATAAAATTTAATTAAAATATTTCTACACAAAGCTGTGCCTTTTAGTTAATTAAATAGCATTAAATAGAAAAGAAGAAAATTAATTAAATAGAAAATAGAGAACTATTATTGTGTTAAACTCATGTCACTATGTAAATATAGTTAGTAAGCCTTTGACAAAAAATAAATAAAATATAATAGGTTTACTACTTGCATAGAAAACAAACAAAACTATTGTATTCACCAGCAAAGATGCTTGACACCTCTAGGTAAATTTCTAAGAAATTAATTAAAATTCTAAGAAATTTATTGTTAAGTGACATGCCGGCGTGTCCGCGCTTGTGGAGGGATTAATCAATAGACCCTTTATTTTTCTAATATAGTTTTAATTTATAGCCATGGAGATATAGCAAGACCCCAACAAGGGGCTCAAGGCAGGATAAGGGCAGACCATCTATGGCAGGAGTTGAGAGAGTTACTTAACTCCATTGGTGGAGGAGTCAATAGATCAATGGAAAAATGGAAAAAAGTGAGATCCATTATTTTAATTCTCAAGAAAAGCTCTCAATAAAATTATACATTTTTTTATAGGTATTTCAAGCTCAGACTAGTGTTAGCATATTTATCTATTTTAGTTTAATTAAAACAATTGCAAACCAATCATAAGGTACAATAAATATTTACTATATAGTAAAAAGAGGCAAAAATAATTATATGAAAATATGTCCTTCATCTTTCTCACACAACTTTAAACATACTAATAAAATCTGTTCATTATCAATAAACAGAATAATAGTAGATATCAGTGTATATAATAATCTGTTCACTTAATTGACTGTATAATTAGATAACAACTTACATTATTTAACATTAACTGACTAATATCTGCAGGTGTGGGCGGATTGGAAAGCCAAAACAAAAAAAAAGGCCTTGGCAATGCGTCGCGAGGCTAGTGGTACTGGTGGTGGTCCAAGCAGCAGACAAACTCTAACAGCTTCGGAACAAAGGGTGTTGGGCATAATGGGTTTGTCTGCTGTTTTTGGTCTAGTTGGAATTGAGGAGAGAGGATTTGATGTTAGTTATTTACTTTCCTTGTGATTTTTGTAGTAGTAGTTGTAATAATAGTAATATTAGATTACTACTACCCACTAATAAGTGGGTTTAGGTTGAATTCTTTAATGTATATTTGTCATATTCTCAGGAACCACCACTTCAAGGAAGCCCTCTACCATCACCATCCAGAGATACCGTCCACACTGAATTTCCCTCCCAAACTGCCGCAGACGAGATTATGTTGTATTCTATAGAAGGTACTTTCTACTTGTATTCATTATGTGCTAAAATGTATTTGCACGTGAAGGATTATAATGTATAATTCACACCTTGCTTTGTATTGCCCAAAGGGTTAACAAAGCGTTAAGTCATATAAATAAAAATTAAATGCTGTTCATTGGTAAGGGCATTATTTGAGAAGTAATATATATATATATATATATCAGTTTGTAACTATAAGTTTTGTTTCCTCAGCGTCTCCTGCCCCATCAGCTCAACTGCCATCTCCCTCTATACTTTCACGTCTTCCTCCAACCCGAGTGTCAACACCACCGCTCGCCTCTGTGACCACGCCGATGCCGTCAGCGACGTCTCGTAATACAACTATACGAGGCGAACCACAACGACGAAGGCGTCCGGCGACCCCTTCGCCCGTGGCGTCACCTGCCACGTCTACGCCGCGGCGGCATAGGCTGCTTCGAGCACGCACAAGGCGAGTACAGACACCATTCGAACGAGCCACGAGCGAGTTCGTAACCGTCGAGAATCGCCGACTGCAATTGGAGGAAGACCGCGAAAAAAATAACCATCAGAGGGAGATGGAACGCCTTCGATTGGAATCGCGAAGGATTGAAATGGAAGAAATCCAAAATCAAATGTTTAACCGTTTAACTGGGATTCTAGATAGTTTGACAGAAATTTTAACTCAGTTGAGACCATCATCACTGGCTTCAACAGTTATTCTGTCTTGATGTGTCCAGTAATGGTGGCCTCACTTGTGAATGTGTCAAATTGTCTGAATTTTCAGCATCTTTTATTTCAATCCTTTGCAATTCTTTTCAAAAAGGAAATAGGTATTTTTTTTTAAATACAGATTTTTATTAAATTTATTTTATTTTTGTTAATACATTTTAAGTACATTTTTATGCTAAAAACCTCGTCTTCCTTACAATAAGAGTTTACATAATAATAAAGGCATTTAGTATAATGAAAACATTTGTTTCATTTTTACAATTACTTATTAAATATTATATTCATACATTTTATAATATACATATACCTAGTAAAAAAAGAAAAATGCAAATATTCACATTAATATTAGTGATGTAGATAACGAATATTCGAATATTTTTTGACAAGTATTTGCCTGAAACGAAATAATTTCCCATTTGTTCTAGTTAGTCTAATTGAAAAATTTAAAAATATCACATCTAAATAAAAAAAAGAATATCCAGCCTTATATTTAAAAAAAGATTCTAAATTATCTCTTTTGTGAAGAACGAACTGAATTGACGACACGTTTGGCTCAGTGTGTAGTGACCCTACTTGTTGTGCCAGCGGTCGCGGGTTCGAGGTCCGCTGGGGGCATTCATTGTCTGATGAGCATGAATGTTTGTACTCCAGTCATGGGTGTTTATATTTAAAATATGTATGTTTTTAAAGTTTATATATGTGTAGTGTATCAACTATCTGGTATACATAA